GCCCCAAAACAGACTTACTTCATGTGCTTCGTCTCGCTTGCTGATACTTAGTTATTTGATAGTTTATAAAAACGAGTAATTTACCTGCTGAGACGAAAGCGTCAGAGATGTCTGTTCTTAGAAAGTATAGTGTAATTTCATTATCGTATAGATTACCCTTTGAAAGACGAATGATGTTTGATGGACAAGTTTACACGACGATCTACCAATACCTGATTATTGCTATGAAGAAATGGAAAGAAACTGGCAAGTTTAGTGTCCATTAGATTGTCAAAACCTGAAAATTTGACCTGGTAATTTCCCCCGTAGATTTGCATTCATGTCTGCGTCCAATTTAATAATGATTTGTGTTAGTAGTAGTATTTTCGGATACTGTCACTCATTACTGCTGAGTTCTTGTAGCGCCTGACTGCTGTTAATGTTTATTATTTTGCTACTTGCTCAGTATGGCTAAGCAATTACTAGTAAATGCAGTTAGCATATTGTAACGCATGAATGGTACTGTGTGTTATTTAGATAATAGTGCTGATTACCATTAGGTAGTATCAGCTGTTAATAGCAGTCTTAGTAATTTATCGCTCAATTGTACTAAGTAGCCAAATTTGATGAAATATTTGTAAGTGGTAGACTGTACTGAGTATCACCATTAGTTTAGTGATCGGTTTTATTAAATTGCATCTTTGAAACGAACCAGGTTTTATTCCGAACATTAGTGTTCTTGTAGTTTAATGGATTGCTGAATATAATAAAGTGTATGTGCAAGATTTTGCTCAAAATAGGCATCAAAATAGAAGTTAATGCCGTAGAAGAAAAGCTAACATAAATATGTCTATCCCTGAAATGTAACAGATATAGACTGTTATAAATTTTCTTTCCTTCTTACTTCCTTTCCTCGGGCATGGGCTGGCAGTTGATTGCTGTGGCATTCATTCTCTTTCGAATTTCTTCAATTTCGTCGACCTCTTAGCTGCATCTGTGTTAAGCTTCGTGAAGTGAACGTGGAATTGCGACTTCATTGTTCGACGTGCTAATTTAAGGAAAAAATCGCTAAACGTAGGAAACAACTGTTTTAAGGTTTTCCTGTTTCACTGGTGAATCAATCATCTGCTTCCACCATTGATAGTCCCCTGCACCGGCAGTCGGTCATACGTTTCAGTTGGTGGTAAAAATTGAATTGTGAACGTTTTTTGCTTCTGTTTGCTGGCAGTCTCAAACTTACAACTTTGCCAGGCGCTGTGTCCACCTGTGAAGCGAGCACCGACAAAGACACGTGTAATTTTTGACAGGTTACGCACGCAATGACGCGCTTGCCTATCGTGGAACTGGCTAGCCGGTTGGCCGACTGACCGGTTGGCTGCTGGTGCGATCGAACGCCAAATTTTGAATTCCCTCCATCCGACACACAGCTCTGGTCCTCTAGTAGTAATCTAGTCTTTTTCGCGGCAACTTCGGTTCACCGCTGAACGACATCGATCGATTTATGTTTTGACGAACTTTCGAAAATTTTCTCCCGATCCTCGTATATCTGTGCGTCGCTCGCTTAGTTTAGTGACGTTTACAGCTAAGAGAGGTCCTTCCCGTCGTTTAAACGAGCAGTTGAAAAAGGTCTGTTAGTTTATTGTTGATATTTTCGGTTGGTGCTAATGCACATATTCAAGCTTCGTTGAAAGTCGAAAGTTGGCAGTACATTGGACCCACTCATTGCACATCGTCCAGACCGAACTTTCTTCGTAACTTGGTCTTGTAGAAGACCTTTCAGGTGATGGATAAACCCAAACATCGGTATCGGTCAATCAGTACACGATTATATACACATGAACCGCGAAGGTTATGTTCTGTAAACCTTTACGTAACTCTGTACGCAGGTCGTAGCATTTAGCGTACCTCCACCCAGTAATCACGCAGTTTTCTTCCTTATTTGCAGTACACATATATACATTAATACATTAATGTTTTTAAGGTTATATCTGTTACTTTCATAGGTTGTTAGAATGCCCTCTCACGCAAATTAGATTTTAATACGTAATAATTAGTACAAAGTATTA